CATCATTCATCCATCCATCCATCATCCACCATCATCCAACCATCCTTCCATCCAGTTGCAATCCATTAATCATCATCGATCATCCAACATTTATCCATCCATCCATCCAACTGTCCATCATTCATCCATTTGTCCATCCATCATCCATCCATTGATTCATCCAACCATCATCCATCCAACTATCATCATTCATCTGTTGATTCATCCAACCATCATCCATCATCCATGTGTCAGGGATTATCTCTGAGAGAAATCAGGATTGTGTGTTTTAAAGCTTCAAGCCTGGACTTACACATCCTCAACACTAATCCTCTTACATGCGCGCGCACGCGCACACACACTCACTGTGCTGGTGGTGGGCGCTGTGTGTGCTGTAGGCTCAGTCCTGCAGTGACGGCGCAGTTCGTGGTCGACACAGAGACACGTCGAGGTCTGGCCCGCTGCACGCTCCGATCCCTGAAACACAACAAACCGTTTCCACCGACTCCAAGAGCAACACGACGAAGCTTCTCACTCCCATCGTGAACCTTCCTGCTCAGCAGTGACGTCTGCTCCTTTCTCAAACACTTCCTGACAAGTCTGGAGAAGCACGGGCGCTTTGAAACAAACTGATCAGACACTTCGTGTGTGTGCACGTGCGCACGAGTGCGTGTGTGGACCTTGACTATCTGAGTGCTGCAGAGCTTCCTGACTTTGTGAACATCAACAAGCCAAACATGAACTTGGACTCCGGTTGCCGTGGCAACCACAGACCGACGCTCCACAAGACGAACCAGGTTAAAGACTTTTACTGGACTGAACCCAAATAAAATATAAAATAACTCGATCTAGTTGAAGTGCGAACTGCACGCACCATCAGTCAGTCGTGCACGCTTTAGCCCAACAGATGGAGCTTCCGCCTGTGAGCAACATTACAGCCAAACTGAAATAAAGCGTGTTTACAAAACGTATCAACGTTTCACAATAAAAGAGCGTTACTTCCTGTCCAAGCACACAAGATGGCCGACTTCTTGGTATGTAAACCTTAGCATAAGAGTAAAAAGAACCAGGAAGAAAAGAAGAGCAGAGGCTGCCAGTGGCCTGTTAGGGTTACCATGGTAACCACGCACCTGTGTCTGTCACCCACTCTTAATAAAGAAGGTAGACAGAAAGGCAGAGCAGAAAGTAAGCCTCAAACAGACCGTTGCTGTGTGAAAACAGTGAGTCGTAGTGAAATCATCCTGAAGTGTAAGAGTCAGACGACAACTTTTTTATTTCTATGGTGTTTTATGTAAGAAATACGATAAATAAAAAAACTCCGGTTCAAGTTTTGAAGAGAAAATTCAGCGATGGTTGATTAAAACGAGAAGAGCAAAAATTAATCCGATTATTTCTTGAAAGTTTCGTTAATATCCACCCAGTGTCCATGAGATATTTTGCTAAATGTCCCACTGTTTTAAATATTTGTGTGAATGGTTATTACGCGTGCACATTGTTGTTTTCCTGTTTATATTTATTATTATTTTATATTCCAGTAACTTTAAACTATTCCGTACGTTTTTCAGCATCTTTCCACAGTTTTCATCTGTTTCAACAAATCATAAGTTCAAACGTTCGGCTCTTTCAGGACAGTCCTGCTGTGACTTTTGTTATTGGTGCAACTTTAGCTGTTTGAAATATTTTAGCCTTTTCTGACTTTTTCCTCACAGAAAATGAGTTGAGCTCATTTTCCATCCTTCACATCTTTACATCTGTTACAACCTTTTACTGCTGCTTTCACATTTTGTTCTGCTCCAGCTTCGGTCAGCTTCCTGCTGCAAATATAAATATTTTTTCAGCTACTTTTAGCTGTTTTTCAGCTGTTTTGTGCTCCTTTCAGATTCTTTCTGCTAACCACAACACTTTTGTGCTTCTTCTAACTTCTTTCTGATAATTTCAGCTTGTTATGCTCCTTTCAGCCGATTCCGCAAGTTTCAGCTTTTTTTATGTTAGTTCAGCTATAATTTAGCTGTTTTATGTTATTATTTTTTTTAGCTAATTCCAAGTTTTATACTCATTTCAACTGTTTTCAGCCAAATTCAGCAAAAATGTGCTCTCTCCACTCCCTTCTGTTAATTTAAGCATCTTTCTGCTTTTTTTTTAGCTACGTTCCAGCTGTTTTTTTGTTGTTGCTTATTTCAGATAATTTCCACTTTTTGTGCTTCTTTCAGCCAAATTGTCCAAGCATGTGTTCTTTCTGCTTTCTTCTGCTAATTTAAGCTTGTTCTACCCTTTCAGTCACATTTTTAGCTTTTTTGTAGCTAATTTCAGCCGTTTTCAGATATATTCAAGTTTTTTGTGGTAATTTCTGCTACTTTCAGTCTAATTAACTTATTTATGCTAATTTCAGCTTGTTATGATCCTTTCAGTTATTTCAGCTACATTTTAGCTGTTTTATGCTAATTTTAGCTTTTTCAGCTCCTTCCATATTTTCGGCGCTCATTTCTGCTCTTTCCACTTCCTTCTGGTAGTTTCAGTTCCTTTTCAGCTATTTTTGCTAATTTCATCATTTTCAGTTAATTTCTTAATTTTGTGCTCATTTCTGCTTATTTAAACCTAATTCAGCAAATACATGTTCTTTCTGCTTTTTAGGCTTGTTCTTCCATCTCTGCTACATTTAAGCTGATTTCAGCTGTTTTCAGCTGATTTCAGCTGTTTTAAGCTGATTTCAGCTGTCTTTAGCTGATTTCAGCTACATTTCAGCTGTTTTTCAGCTGATTTCAGCTACATTTCAGCTGTTTTTCAGCTGTTTTCAGCTGATTTCAGCTGTTTTCAGCTACATTTCAGCTGATTTCAGCTGTTTTTAGCTGATTTCAGCTACATTTCAGCTGATTTCAGCTGTTTTTGCTGATTTCAGCTGATTTCAGCTGTTTTTCAGCTGATTTCAGCTACATTTCAGCCGTTTTTCAGCTGATTTCAGCTACATTTCAGCTGTTTTCAGCTGATTTCAGCTGTTTTTCAGCTGTTTTAAGTTGATTTCAGCTGTTTTTAGCTGATTCAGCTACATTTCAGCCGTTTTCAGCTGATTTCAGCTGTTTTCAGCTGATTTCAGCTACATTTCAGCTGTTTTTAGCTGATTTCAGCTGATTTCAGCCAGTTGTTCTGTAATAAACATTCACACTGCATTGTGCAGGAACGTTCTGTAGTTTGAGGTAAGTGTTTGCTCAGACTCTGGACAAACACTCAGAATGTGTTTGGGGTCAGTCTCAGTAACTACCACACCACATTTCCGGCCAGTATCTGTCAAACTAAGAGTTGTACACGCATGTTTGTGTTTCACATCTTGACTGACAAGTTAATCAGCTGTTTGTGTTTATCTGAAAGTTTCATGAAAATTCATCCAGTGGTTTAGGAGATATTTTGTTAACAGAGAGTTCTGGAGCAAAAACAGAACAATCGCCAACTTTTCAGCGCCAGACAATAGTTAATTAAATTGCAGTGAAATAGATGTGCAGCACACAGTTCATATTTAATATTCATTTAACAACTCCATCACAAATAACTTTTTATTTAATTAAGTCAAAAATAAAACTTGTAAATTTAATTTGTAGTCAGGCGAAGAAAATCTCCTCACAGTTGAAAAAACTGTTTCATTTGATATAAAATTAGTCACATCAAAGTGTCACACAGTGAGAGATAATATAAAAACTTACAGTAAAAAGCAGTCGGCTCCGTCATAACTGTTTGTTTTAGCCGCTCTTTGTTTTGGATTTTCAGACCGTGCTTAAAAAAAAAAGTCCCGTGAAATATCGCGAGATCTGCAACTTCTCGTTTTGTCCTTTCCCGCCTCTGCCCACAAGATGGCGCCCGATAAAACCACAGATACAAACACTTTTATATGATATTTATGGATAAAACAGCCAAAAAAACAACAAAAGACTAATTTATATAGTAATAAATCCAACGACGACTGCGCTACACAGATATAGACAACTCGAGGGCTTAATACAAAAAAAGTAAATTAAAGTCTCGTGAAATATCGCGAGAGTTTCCACTTCTCAACATTCTCATCTCTGTCCACAAGATGGCGCCCGATAAGCTGAAGGAACTTCAACAAAATATGAATTTTAAAACGAATAGGAAATCAACACTATGAACAGTTAATTGAGTATTTAATTTAACATGTTATATTTGTGTTTTTTATTTGACTGAACATCTTTTTGTACGTGAAATCATATATTCCTACATAGTTTGTTATTTGTACATATTTTAAATGTTAATAAACTATTTTCCTCCAGTTTCATCACATCTGAGTGTTTCCTGTCTTCTGTCAGTCTGCAGCCGTCTCAGGATGATGAAGGTAGCATCTCTCAGTTTTATAATCTGTAAGTTACTTTTTTATTATTAACTAATCAAAATTAATAAGAATAAAGTTTGGAATCAATAAGATATGTTCTTCGTTATGATATATTTTTGATTTGAACTTGTTTTAAAACGTTTGCTGACTTAGAAAGTAGTTAGTTTTTAATATTTTCTAATAATTTGCAGTTTAACGTTCAGCCTTTTTTACTTGTTTCTGCTGAGATGAGAATCACCACTTAAACTCTTATTTTGGGCATTTTTTTAGAATAAATTCATCAAAACAAACGGAACCAAACGAGTCCTGGTGACCGGCAGTACGTGTCCAAGAGCTAACACACAAATTAAATGATTTGTGAGCGATTTCATGATGCAACACTCTGGCTCATCCCTTGAGTTTAGGAGTTTTATAATAAACTGAATTGAGTTTAGTAGCTTTTATGTGAAATTATGTACAAGGACAAAATATGACTGAATTTAAAAAATGATGTATTTATTATAGGAGTTGGAGGAAAAAGAAACAAAACAAGAAACATAATAAATCATTTTTAATCGCCCTCGTAAAACATTTCCATGCCTTGATATAGAAATGTGTGTGAGTTCACAGCCTAACATTATTATTAGTGTTTAAACTGTTAATTTTGATTTACAGTAATTAAAAAGTGTAAACGATCAATGCATCATATAACAGATAAATGACGTCAACTAGAAGCTAAAAGCCAAATTTGTATTTTTTATGTACAAATGAATAAAGTATCCAAAAAGTTAGAGTTCACTTCATTGTCAGCAAGTTTAGATTGTAGACGTATTTTATTAATCCTGTTCTGCAAATAAGCATTTTAAAATAATTAATGATTTTTAACAGTTTGCATGAATGTATTTTACATTTAACGACCCCGCCTCTACGACCCAAAACAGGGTGGAGGTATTTTCTGGACGTCTGCTAAAATGAACAATCTGTAAGATGCGTTCAGGTACCGCTTTATTTTGACTAACTTGCTTTGGTTTCATTTTGTCTCAGTGATGATGTTCCTGGATCAAGATGAGGCAACAGGTAGGAGCTGTCAATCAACTGGAAACCAAGTCCAAGGGATCCATAAAGTTCTATCTAATCTAATCTAATCCAATCTAATCTAATCTAATCTAATCTAATCTAATCTAAAACGCTTTAATCTTTGTTTGGTAGCAATACGTAATGCAGCCAAGTTCATACCTGATACTTACAGTATATAGTACATACAGAGTACTGGTACAGTACTTATCTGGTACTTAACAATACACTGGTAAGAACCAGATGCATTCCCATTAAGTACCAGTTACATTTCAGGTACATACATAAAGTACAAGGTACAAAACTAATATGTACCCGATACGTACTTGGTCAGTACTAGATACTGATCAAGTACAGACTAGGCAAACATTTTGTAAGTACCAGGTATATACCTAATAAGTACTGGGTACTGGGTACACATCAGGTCTGTACTTGGTACTTCCAGGAATGTATCAAGTACCAATATAAACCTAGCACAAGGTACCAATACCTGGTACAAACTCGGTACCAGATACAAACTCAATATGTTCTAAGTACTTGGTAAGGACAAACTATGTGCCCAGTAAGTACCAGATACATACCAGATAAGCATTTAGAAAGTATTCTGTAAGTACTAAGTATATAACTTGTAAGCAATAGCTCTATATTGGGTGCATACCTGATACGCACTTGGTAAGTACCAGGTACAAACTCAATATGCTCCAATTACATGCTCAGTAAGTACTTGGTAAGAACCAAGTATGTACCCAATAAGTACTAAGATAAGTACTTAGTATGTACTCTGTAAGTATATACCTTGTAAGCAATAGCTCTACATATAGGGTACATGATACCTGATGGGTACCTGATGCACACTTGGTAAGTACCAGGTACAAACTCAATGTTCCAAGTACTTTGTAAATACTTGGTAAGAACCAAGTATGTACCCAGTAAATACCAGATACATACCAGATAAGCATTTAGAAAGTACTCTGTAAGTACTAAGTCCATACCTTGTAAGCAGTAGCTCTACATATTGGGTACATACCTGATACACACTTGGTAAGTACCAGGTACAAACTCAATGTGTTCCAAGTGCATACTCAGTAAGTACTTGGTAAGAACCAAGTATGTATGCAGTAAGTACATGTACATACAAGTAAGTACTTGGTAAGTACTCTGTAAGTACTAAGTACATACCTTGTAAGCAGTAGCTCTACATCTTGGGTACACACACCTTATATATGTGATGGAAACATATTTATTGATCTGCTTCCTGATACATTGAGTATTATTTATAAAAACAACCGTTATCATCCTTTTATTACTTTAAGGTAACTGTGAACAAATGTTTGATGCAATAACTCTTTGGGACCAGACGCCAGTGGACAGCTGGTCCTCGTAGGAAACCTGGAAAGCGTTTTCCTTCCTGTGGAGCTGCTGCCGGTTCTGGTTCTGATAAACTCGTGGACAAGGCGAAAGACCTGAGGAGGTTCTACAAATCAAACCTTTTCACTCCGGGCAGCCACATCGGGTCAGGAACAGGACAAGACATTATTAGGTTCTGTTCTTGTCATGAACTGACTTTCTGTGAGTTCTCCAAAGCTTTGTAATAGATTTGATGAACTCTACACCTGATACTTGTACCTAAAAGTAAAAAGTACCAGGAGTGTGACCAATGTGTATCTTATAAATACCTAGGACCTACCGGATGGTAAATACTTATGTTTCAGGTATGATCCTAATTTGTACATGGTACTATGAGGTATGTACCTGTACATAGCAGGTACAGGTGTTGCCCTGTGTATTAATACTTGATGGCATTAGTTTTATGTTGACAGGAGTACTTTACCTCCGTATCCGTCTCCCCCCTTCAGTATTCGTGTCCGTCGCTCCTGAAAGATCTCAGTTCTTCAAATACGATCGTTTTTCCGTGAGCTGTGAGGGAGAGGAGGAGGCCTCTGGGTGGAGCGTGATGCAGACGAACGATGGAGAGGTTTGCTCTTCCTGACATCTTTCTTCACGTCAGACCCAGGAGTTCTGACGGATCAGAACCACAGCCGGTTTGTTTGTGTCCCACACAACAGGTGAAGCTACACCCGACTCCGTACTCCGTCTCTGCTGCCTTCCCTCATGAGCACAGCGGCGTGTACTGGTGTGAAGATGAGCTGGGATCCAACAGCAGCCACGTCCTCATCACGGTCACCGGTACCGTCTGGATCGAACCCGTCATGGGTCCCTGCCTGAACACTGACTGAACGCTCAAACACTTTAACATTGATCCTAAATCACTTGTGGCTTCTCACATAACTAAAACAAAGAACGTAAACCAGCAGAACTGTGCACCGTTGTTGTGTTTTCAAAGTCCCATTGGCTTTGGCGGCCATTTTAATTTGGGTTGACTTGAACAGCTGCAGACGTTAGACCTAGAAGACAAGCATCACAGTTTCATCATCAATGAATCATTGGAGTCGAGCATCAGGTCATAATATTTGGTGTTTGTCGTCTTTGTCCTCCAGCCGGTCCCGTGATCCTGGTCAGTCCGGTTCTTCCTGTGACAGAAGGAGGCAACGTGACCCTGAGCTGCAGGTTCAGACCTTCAGCTAACGTAGATACCAGCTGCAGCCCTGCAGAGTTCTACAAAGACGGGGCCCGGATCGAGACCAGCTCCACGGGAAACATGACCGTCAGCGGCGTTTCCGGGTCCGATCGAGGGTTCTACAAGTGTAAGGTCTGCGGGTCAGGAGAGTCACCGGAGAGCTGGCTGGCTGTCAGAGGTAAAGCACGATGCTAACACAAACACATCATCTTTTGTGGTTGTTCAAACATTTAGATTAAGACCAGACTTGATTTACAAACAGCCGTTGGGTAGTTTGGTTCTGTTCACCAGAACACGGAGCAGAGAAACCAAAGAGCTGTCCGAGGAGCTCGTGAAGAACATAGACATCCATAGATCAACTCCAAGCAACGTTACTCCTGACCACAGAAGAGAAAGTAATTAAAAATGAGGTTTGTGGGAGTGTAGCCAACCTCCTAGGACATGGACGCAAGAAGCAATGCGACCCCATGCTGATCAGACAACAGAAAGAAGAACCAAGGATGTAAAACCATTGAAACTGAGCTTCTGCGTCAGGGCACGTCACTTTCTGATCGCACCATCTGTTGAGTTCTGAATCAGAATGATGGAAGACGACCCAGGGGGCAGAAAAATACAAACACTCCAGACAGGAAGTCATCAAAATGCATTTGGACTAAAAATAAAGTTTATAGGAGCTCAGGACTCAAGACAAACACGAGCTTTTGTTGCTCTGGTGACATCAGTTTTATTTTTGTGGAACACCAATGAACTTTGGTGAACCAGGGTCAGAGCACCAAGCTCCTTTGGCCACTCCCCATGACGTCATGCACACGACTTGCATGGCTCCTCCTGCAGGTGGTGGGTCCACAGGAAGAGACTGACAGATGGAATGGTGCAGCGTCTGCAGTATTGCGGACTCTGTGCCGGTCCGTGGTGGTGAAGAGTGAGCTGAGCTGTAAGACAAAGCTCTCTGTTTACTGGTCGGTCTACGTTCCTCCCCTCACCTCTGGTCATGAACTCTGGTAGAGACTGAAAGAATGAGATCGTGGATCCAGGAGGTTAAATGAGTTTCCTCTGCAGGGTAGCTGGACTCTCCCTCAGAGACAGGGGGAGAAGTTCAGTTATCAGGAGAGACTCAGTAGAACCACTGCTCCTCCACATCCAGAGGAGCCAGTTGAGGTGGTTCAGGCATCTGGTAAGGATGCTCCCTGGGCGCCTCCATAGAGAGGTGCTCCGAGCATGTCTGACTGGGAGGAGACCCCAGGGGAGAACCAGGACACGCTGGAGAGACTATTTGGCCTTGGAACACCTTGGTGTCCTCCCAGAAGATCTGGAAGAGCTCTTCCAGCAGCTTCCCTGCTCAAGCTGCTGCCCTCAAGTCCTGATGACGGATGGATTTTCATTAATTCAACCTTTATTTAAATTCAAATTCAATTCAATAATACTTTATTAATCCCAAAGGGAAATTATTTGTTGTTGTAACTCGTTATCCTCATTTCATTAAGAGATGTTATAGATGCTGATGTTGTAGGCAGGAAGGATCTCTTGTAAAGGTCCATCCCACAGTGGATCC